GCCATGGTGAATTGGCCAAGGTGAGTTGGGCATGGTGAATTGGCAAAGGTGAGTTGGCCATGGTGAATTGGCCAAAGTGAGTTGGCCATGGTAAATTGGCCATGGTGAATTGGCCAAGGTAAGTTGGCCATGGTGAATTGGCCAAGGTGAGTTGGCCATGGTGAATTGGCCAAAGTGAGTTGGCCATGGTGAATTGGCCAAGGTGAGTTGGGCATGGTGAATTGGCAAAGGTGAGTTGGCCATGGTGAATTGGCCAAAGTGAGTTGGCCATGGTAAATTGGCCATGGTGAATTGGCCAAGGTAAGTTGGCCATGGTGAATTGGCCAAGGTGAGTTGGCCAAGGTGAGTTAGCCATCGTGAATTGGCCAAGGTGATTTCACCATGGTGACTTGGCCATGGTGAGTTGGTCATGGTGAATTGGCCAAGGTGAGTTGGCCATGGTGAGTTGGCAAAGGTGAGTTGGCCATGGTGAGTTGGCCAAGGTGAGTTGGCCAAGGTGAATTGGCCATGGTGAGTTAGCCAAGGTGAATTGGCCATGGTGAGTTAGCCATGGTGAGTTGGCCATGGTGAGTTGACCATGGTGAGTTGGCCATGGTGAGTTGACCATAGCAAGTTGTCCTCAGCAATTTGGCCATGGTGAGTTGGCCAAGATGAGTTGACATAGACCCCCTGCTGGTTCTCATCCCACCCTTTGCAGAATCCACCCACACCGTCTTCCCTGGATGGTCCTTAAAGTATTGGAGAGCTGCTCTCATGTCTCCCCTTTACCTTCTCTTCCTTAAGTCTTTAAAGGTAGTGCTTGACCTACGACTGGTCTTTTCACAACCATTTGAAATTATGATCGATTTTTTAAAAAAACTTCTTCTGACCCATCTTTAAAGTTATGCTTACTGCATCCCCCACCTGCAGTCATGTGATCACCTGTCAAGGCATTTGACAACCAGTTTGTATTTACAATCATGGATTGCGGCATTCCACAGTCACGTCACTACAATTTCTGACTTTTTTGCGATTGTCCAAAAGAAAACAGCAAAAACAACCATTGGATATGCCATATTTGCTTAATAACATCGTGGTTCACTTAAAAGACCATGGGGACTCACTTCATGGCTCATTTCACACATCTGGCATAGTCTTTTCACATTTCAATACAGGTAGTCCTCGACTTACAACAGTTCATTTAGTCACTGTTCAGAGCAGGCGTGGGTTCTAAAAATTTTTACTACCGGTTCTGTGGGCGTGGCTTCTTTTGTGGGTGTGGCTTGATGGTCATGTGACAATTATTTAGGATTTAGCAGAGGTACTGGTCTACCAGGCTTTTAACTGCTTGCAGAGCTGTACTGATCTACCCATTTATTTTTGCAGGCACTGATCTACTCATGTATTTTTGCAGGCACTGACCTACTCATGTATTTTTGCAGGCACTGATCTACTCATGTATTTTTGCAGGCACTGATCTACTCATGTATTTTTGCAGGCACTGATCTACTCATGTATTTTTGCAGGCACTGATCTACTCATGTATCTTTGCAGGCACTGATCTACTCATGTATTTTTGCAGGCATTGATCTACTCATGTATTTTTGCAGGCACTGGTCTACCCATTTATTTTTGCAGGCACCGGTCTACTCATTTGTTTTCTTTTAACACTGCAAGAGTTTAAACAGTTTTTTTCCCTCTAGCCATCAGCTGGGACTCAGGAGGCAGCAATAGATTGGGGGTGGGGCCAAATAAAAGGTAAGAATAATGTGGGGGGGAGGGGGAAGGGGGCAGAACCGGTTCGGTGACATCATATCATCACCGCTACCGGCTCGGCAGAACCGGGCGGAACCCACCACTGGTTCAGAGTTACAACGGCACTGAAAAAAGGGACTTATGACTGTTTTTCACATTGACGACCACGTTTCTTTTTCAGGAGATAGAGGTAGGTTTTTGCAAAAATGTGGTACAGGAAGTCGTTGACTTCACGACCACAACCGAGCCCAGAATTTATGTTGGGGAGTGAGAAATCCGTTAAGTGGGTTTCATCCTGTTTTACGACTTCCCTTGCCACGTTTGTTATGGGAATTACGGCGGTGGTTAAACGAGTCGCACGGTGGTTCAGCCAATCTGGCTTTCCCCACCCCCTCCCCTTGAAGCTTCTGTGCATGCACAGAGCATTTTTGCAGCATCCCCGTGGCCACGTGACTTACATTCGGATGCTCGATAACTAGGCTCACATTTATGACGGTTGCAGAGTCCTTGGGTCACGTGATCCCCTTTTGCGACCTTCTGACAAGCAAGGATAACGGGGAAGCCAGACTCACTTAACAACCGGGTTACTCGCTTAACAACTGCAGTGATTCACTTAGCCACAGTGGCCAGAAAGGTCGTAAAAATGGGGCAAGACTCAACTGAACAAATGCCTCACTTAAACAGCAGAAATTTTGGCCTGTTGTGGTCATGCAAGTTGTGCAAGGGAGGCGGTGGCTCAGTGGCTAAGACGCTGAGCTTGTCAATTGAAAGGTTCAGCGGTTCGAATCCCTAGTGCCGCGTAACGGGGTGAGCTCCCGTTCCTTGTTCCAGTTTCTGCCAACCTAGAAGTTCGAAAGCAGGTAAAAAATGCAAGTAGAAAAATAGGGACCACCTTTGGTGGGAAGGGAACAGCGTTCCGTGCGCCTTTGGCATTGAGTCATGCCGGCCACATGACCACGGAGATGTCTTCGGACAGCGCTGGCTCTTCGGCTTTGAAACGGAGAGGAGCACCGCCCCCTAGAGTCGGGAACGACTAGCACGTATGTGCGAGGGGAACCTTTACCTTTACTTTTGCGGTCGTAAATCGAGGACTACCTGTACACTCAAAAGGGACCCCTTTCATTTCTTTGCAGCCATCCCGAATCCAGTTCCGTCTGTGAAACACAATCGCACACGCGATCTGATTTTATTTTTATTTTTTTTAACCCAGTGACAACGGCAGAACTAACTGCAAAGCCCAGCTAAACGTTTCCGAGAGAGTTGCTGATGTGCTGAAATTAAGCTTTCCAACCAGTGGCCATTTTTTTCTGGAGCTTCTGGCTGCCTTTTCAAATCATCCTTTTCTCTCTTTCTTTTCTTTTTTTGCTGCTGCTGTTGTTGGTGAGTTGTGATTAATTGCGACCCACTTATGAGAAACTGCTGACTACAGTGGCACGACCCAGTCCCACCCCCAAACCCGGATAAAATTCTACCCTAATGGAAATACAGGCGCGATTTTAATCCTGCAACCCACGTATTTATTTAGTCGTGCGTTTAAAATCGCTCACAGAAGCACTGAAATTCCATCTAGTCTTACGAAGCATTTCACCATTCCGGAGAGGAAAAAAAAGCAATATTATTGAGAGAGAGAGAGAGAGAGAGAGAGACCAAAAATGTATGGATAGAGAAACTGCTAAGCTAAGCTAAGCTCTCGAAGTAAAACGAATCCTTAGAAAACAAGATTCAAAGGCACGTTATGCCTCGTGCAATAAATCCCAGCACCTGTTCCGGTTTCTTAGCGCAGTAAACCTTAAACGGACAAGGTTGACCGCGGGAAACCAACCCGGGGGGGTACCAGAAACCGGGGTGGAGATACCATTAGGAGCCTGATCACGATGGGCTGCTTCTGAGAAGGTTCCAGAAGGTGTCGAGCCAGAGGCCCAGAAAACTATCTGGATCTGGGAGGGGACAGAGCATTTTCTCTCCCCCCCCCCATCGTGGGAGAAACTTAGTTGGGGGGTTTTGCAGAGAGTTTCAGAAGCTTTGCTTGTATTCTAGGCGCTTCTCAGTTCATCCTTCAAAGTCACGCGAAGAGCAGGCCGGTGTAAACGCCTTCTCTCTTAAACCCCGTTTTTCAATGCGGTAGGATTGCGCCCCCCCCTTCTCCTATCCGTTTCCTCCATGTGCCAGTGAAGTTGGGGAGGGCAGAGGCGAGTTAAGAGAGGGCACGATTGCGGCAACCCCGTGCCTCTTTTGTCAGGAGGCGAATAGTAAGGGATGGGCATGTTGTACAAGCTCGGTTGCCGTGGGAAGCTCAGGCGATGCTGCTTGGACGTGAGTCATCACGGCAGTGCGGAAGCTCAGCAAAATCCAAAATGAATATATATATATATATATATATATATATGGGACCACCAGTTTGCTTAGAGGTGAATAAGGGAAGAGCTTCCCTTCAGACCAACTGCTCTCCCCCTTAATTCCGGGATCACCGGTTCGCTGCAGATGGACCCTGGCTAACCCGCCACCGTCCCTGGGCATCTCCAACAGGGCGCACAGCAGCTGTGCCGTCCGCGATGCTTTCCCCCACCTCCTCCGCTTTTTAAAATAGCTATCATGCAGACAAGCTCGACCTAAAGGGAAAATGCCCGAGGAGAGAGCATCCAAACGTTCCCCCTGAGAAAAGCAGAAACGATAGCCATGCCCAAACTTTGTCGGGCATTTTCCTCCTCCGGGAATGAGCAAATGACGGTGTTTTAGGGGAACCTGGCGGCTTCTGTCGTTATTTCAAGAGAAAGCGGCACCCCATAAATCTCCAGGTGTGCGTGTGTGGAGGGGGGAGGGCTGGGGATAGAGTAGACCTCCTGGAGCCCTAGAGAGGAGGCCATCTAGCTTGTGCTGCATAACATTTGCAAGGGAGGGCAAGAGACAGGCGGACACCCCCCCTTCTCCTCTCCAGGCCTCCTCCCGCCCCTTGGATAAAGATGCTGCAACAGCTAAATCAGGCTTCGCTTTTAAAACACAGCCAGGTTGGCCTTACCTGCGCAACCTCCCTTCCCCACCCCACCCCCCCCCCCCCCCACCCCGCAGACTCTCCCCCCCTCCCCCACCCCCCCCCCCCCCAATTTCTCCCACCTTTCTTTCCTCCCTCCCTCCGGCTTTTTTCCGCAGGGATGGAGAAGGGGGAAGGAGGAGTGGGCGCATCCTCAGCCCAATGCGCCGTTTGGATCGCTGCGCTTGCGGGGGGCTGGGGGTGGACGGGTGGGTGGGGATCGCGGCGGATGGGTTACCTTCAGTCACATAGTTGTGATCCCGAAGAAAGCTCTGGTTGATGTTCGGGGGGGGGCTCCGTCTCCTCGCCCATTGACCGCGCCGCCGGATTACTCAGCAGCCGCAGCGGACAGGCTGACCCAGGAGAGGGAGGGCGGCGGGGGAGCGGCTGCCATCGCTCAGCCCAACCGGGCAGCCCTGCCCTTGGCGGCAGAGGAGGAGGAGGAGGAAGAAGAGGAGGAAGAGGAGGAGGAGGACGGGCCCCGCTTCATGGAGCCGGGGGATCGGCCGAGCCGTTTTCCCGCAAGCAGCGGAGGATGCAGCTGCGCCAGCGACATCCAGAGATGCTCCAGCCTTAGCAACGGCGCCCGCAGCTCCTGAGAGCCCCCCCCTCTCCTCCGCTGGAGCGGAGGAGGCGTCAGGCGGACCCCCCGCAAGAGGCGGGGGGCGACGGCCAGCCCCGGCCCCTCCGCCTTTTCGGAGCAGGCAGGCCCCTCCCCGCCGGACCTGTCAGCCAACCAGCCCAGGTGGGCATGGAAAGCGGAGGAACGAGTCCTTTGAAAATCCACCTATGGGACACCGTGACTGAGAAGCTCCGTAGATCAGGGAATGAAATCCAGCAGGTTCTGACAGGTTCTGCAGAACCGGTAGCGGAAATTTTGAGCAGTTCGGAGAACCGGCAAACGCCACCTCTGGCTGGCCCCAGAGTGGGGTGGGAATAGAGATTTTGCAGTATCCTTGCCCCAGGAGTGGGGAAGGGGAATGGGGATTTTGCGGCATCCTTCCCCCAGAAGTGGGGTGGGAATGGAGATTTTGCAGTATCCTTCCCCCAGGAATTTTTTATTTTTTATTTTTTAATTTTGATTTATATGCCGCCCTTCTCCGAAGACTCAGGGCGGCTTACAATGTGCTCAGCAATAGCCTTCATCCTTTTGTATATTTATACAAAGTCAGCTTATTGCCCCCACAACTGGGTCCTCAATTTACCTACCTTAGAAAGGATGGAAGGCTGAGTCAACCTTGAGCCTTGGCGAGATTCGAACCCTGCAGTAATTGCAGGCAGCTGGTCTTAATAACCAGCTTAATAACAGGGTGCCTTAAACCCCTGTACTACCAAGGCTCTGGGGAATTGGGGAAGGAATGGGGATTTTGCAGTATTCTTCCCCTGGTGTGGGGTGGGAATGGAGATTTTGCAATATCCTTCCCCGCCAGGAGTGGGGAAGGAATGGGGATTTTGCAGTATCCTTCCCTTGGAGTGGGGTGGGAGTGGAGGTTTTGCAGTATCCTTCCCCTGCCACGCCCACCAAGTCACACCACACCACACCCATCAAGCCACGCCCACAGAACCGGTAGTAAAAAAAAATTGGATTTCACCACTGCTGTAGATGAAGTCCACAAGTCTTAAAAAGTTGTCAAGGTAGGACACCCCTGCCCTAAATAATTCAGTCCTATGCCGCCTGGATGTCTTTGATCAATTTCTTTCTGGGTTAAGTGGAGAAGAGCACGAAGAAGGGTCAGAGGGGGATGGACTCCCTTTTCTCCCCCCCCCCCACCGCCCCAGCTAATGTCCAGAAAAAGGGTTGCCCATCTCTTGCTTCACCTGGTCACACCTGATTCATCTTCTCAGCCTCCACGGAGCCACCTGGAGTAGCAACAGGAGAGTTGGCATAAGAGTGGGGGGGCTCAGTAGCTCATGCAGCCCCCCGCCCCCAGCACAGCAGGAGCACTGCCACCAGAGGCCCCGTTGGAGTTGAGGTTGCTGAGGCATGACCGCAAGAGCGAAGATAGGCTGGTCTGCTTTCCTCTCAGAATAACAGAGTTGGAAGAGTCATTAGAGGTCTTCTAGTCCAACCCCCTGCTCAAAACAGGAGACCCTACATCTACCTCTACCTAGGATCGAACTCACAACCTCCTGATTGTGAGGCGAGAGCTCCACCTCTAAAAACCTCCAGCGATGAAGTACCCACAAATTCTGAAGGCAACTTCTGTTCCACAGTTCTCACCGTCAGGAAATTTCTCCTTAGATTTGGTTGCTGCTTTCCTTGATTAGTTTATCTCCATTGCTTCTTGTCTTGCCTTCAGGTGCTTTAGAGAATAGAATCATAGAATAATAGAGTTGGAAGGGACCTCGGAGGTCTTCTAGTCCAGCCCCCTGCTTGAGCAGGAGAACCTATACCATTTCAGACAAATGGCTGTCCAGTCTCTTCTTGAAAGCCTCCAGTGATGGAGCACCCATAACTTCTGACGGCAAGCTATTCCATCGGTTGATTGTTCTCACCGTTTGGAAATTTCTCCTTAGTTCCAGATTGTTTCTCTGCTTGGTTACTTTCCATCCATTGTTTTTTGTTTTGGTGCTTTGGAAAATAGTTTGACCCTCTCGCCTTTGTAGGAGCTTCTCAAATATTGGAATACTGCTATCATGTTTTCTCTAATCCTTCTTTTCTTTAGACTAGACCAGGGGTCTCAGGAGCCGCATGTGGCTCTTTCAGCCCTCTGCTGCAGCTCCGTTACTCAAAATATGCGTCACAACTGCCAATGTGCGACACCTGCCAGCACGCAATTCATTGAGCTTTTCAACCCCCCCAGTAGGCCAACCATGGATAAATCCAAGAAAAGAAAAGTTTCAGAAGAAAACAAAGTTTAATTCAACTACATAGGCTACTTCTGTGGCCGCTCAAGAAATAGTCAGGCACGGGAAGGGTTTTGTGGCTCCCGGTGTTTTCTTTTCTGTGGGAAACGAATCCAAATGGCTCTTTTGAGTGTTTAAGGTTGCAGACCCCTGGACTAGACGTACCCAGTTCCTGCAAATGTTCTTCGTATGTTAGGTTGACCCCTTCTTCTTTGTGGCAGACCCACAAAGCTATCATGTCACCCCTCGTCCTTTTCTTCCTTAGACTACACATACCCAATTCCTGCGACCGTTTTTCGTAGGTATTAGCCTCCAGCCCCTTAATCATCTTTGCCGCTCTTTCTAGCATCTCAACATCTTTTTTATATATATACTGCAAAATCTCCATTCCTACCCCACTCTGGGGCCAGCCAGAGGTGGTATTTGCCAGTTCTCCGAACTACTCAAAATTTCCGCTACCGGTTCTCCAGAACCTGTCAGAACCTGCTGGATTTCACCCCTGACGGGATGCAATATTCCAAGTATCCTCACACTAAGGTCTCACTTCTGCTTGAAGAGGGAGGATGTTCAGTCTAAGCAGGGTGGGCCTTTGGCAGGTCCTCACTGGAGGGATGGGGACAGGCCCTGGCTGCCAGGGGGAACCAAGTTTGTTTCAAGGACGTCATAGATAGACAGGTATGGTGAGATTTGCACACCCTGCTATTCTGCTGCTTCAGAAGGAACTGTTTCCAAGTCCTCTCCCCCCACTCCCTTTCCATTTTCTCTGACCCAAGGTCTTCTCGCCTTTAGCTTAGCTGGTGTTCCAGATTTATAAAGATCCCAAGGTCCCTGTGACGCAGATGCCTTCCTGCCTCCCCTACTTTTCCCTAGTAAATCCCCCCACAAGCCGTCCCTTCTACAGATGGAAATTAGAAACAAATCCTTCTAGTCTTTCCCTGTATTCAAGAAAGTCTGAATGCAGATTTACAGGCACTTTATTAATAAAGTTGAAATACTGGAAATATCTTTAGCATTGTAGAAAGTTAGCACCCACCCCTCTCCTAGAAGAATGAAATATTTTAAGGAAATATTGAAAAGGCAGAATATTATACCTTCCTGGATGAGAAAAGGAGAAACATGCTCTTGGAAAGCAGCCTCCACATTTGTTAATAGCCCCAGAAAGACTGGGCTATCCTATCTACCAAACAAAAGGCCTCCAGCTCCAGGGTGATGGGATTGAGACATGACCTTCCAGGACATGATAGGATTATCTAGCAGAAGAGTTTACCACATGGCACCTGGGAATATTACATCACCCAGCACAGTTCAACCAGACTTATCTCAGACAAATTTCTAGGATTTGCACATAACCCCTAGAGCAGCCAATAGGATATATGCCCTTGCCACAGGAACAGGAAGCTCTAGGGCAGGGGTCAGCAACCTGCGGCTCTTTCACCACTCTGCTGTGGCTCCCTGTCACTCAAAATATGCGTCACAACCACCGGCACACAATTTATTGAGCTTTTCAACCCCTGGTAGGCCAACCATGGATAAATCCAAGAAAAGTTTTAGAAGAAAACAAACCGTTTAATTCAACTACATGTGCTAGTTTTGTGGCCGCTGAAGAAATAGTCAGGCACAGGAAGGGTTTTGTGGCTCCCGGTGTTTTCCTTTTTGTGGGAAACGGGTCCAAATGGCTCTTTGAGTTGCAGACCCCTGCTCTAGGGCAAGGCCCAAGAGTGGGTATAAATATATATATCTCTCCACTCATTGTGGTCAGTTACCCAGGACTTCAAACCATCCTTCCCAACAGCCTCCATGTTTCCAGTGTCTTTCTCCCCACTTGGAACTGAACCCAGATGGACATTTCTTCCAACAGTATGCATGATGAAGTTTTTTCAGTGGTTCTGGATCCTTTCTCTCTCTCTTTTTCTCTCTCTCTCTCTCTTGTACACCCATGGTAGAAGTATATAGGCCTCTGCTCTAGAGACAACCAGACTGCAATTTTATTCCGTTGCAAACAGAAACTCAAAAATTTTACTTTGATTTAGGCCCCAGAGGTTTACACTGCCTGTCGTAATTCCAGACAATGCTAAAAGCATTTCTATTCTGTGTTCTTCATTAGTTCCTAAGGAAGATGTTATAGGAGGAGATTCGTGTTAGTCTGGGGTAGAAAAAGATCAGGAATCTGTTAGCACCTTTTCCAACTAACCAGATTGATGAAAAGGCAGCAGCTTTCATGATCCTGGATTCTGGACAGTAAGAAGCAGGACTGAAAAAGTACATCTACCAGATGCTGGAGAAAGGAAAGGAATATTCTTCTTCACACACACTCCATTATCTCCTCCCATTTCCTTTTCCTGCACTGTGAAATTTTTCCTGTAGCTTTGGAACATTTTCCTCAATAAATAAAAAAGCATGATGTTTTTGACTCGTTTGCTGAATTGGGATCTCTTTATCTTCTTTTAGGGCCATGTGGGGACGAGATCACGTTTTAATATATATTTATGCAGGAATATTGAAAATGCAAGTTTCAGCACCACTGTCGCTTCGTACATGCTAATTGCTGCAAGGATATTATATATGCTTATTATTGAAAAGGATGTCCTGTTTTCTTTATGGGAGAAGGGTTAACCAATTTGTGTGATTATTTGGATTTTTGTAAGCTGCCCAGAATCACCTATGTGTGAGATAGGAGGCTATATAAATTTAATGAATGAGATTTTTGATGCCCAAAATAACTTCGTATCTTGTTGCCACCATTTTTTAAAGTGCAAATTTATACTTTTATAGGTTATTAGAACAAGAACAGATTGTTCATTTAGACTCAATCTATTATAGCTTTTAA